GTGTCTGGTCCCGCTGCTTTGGTCGGGATCAAACTGGACCGGGCTGGGGTGGCATCTGGTCACAGGGTAAGGGAGGGATGTGGCCGAAGCGGGTGAGATCAGGTCCCTCGGCCCCAGCCGTTTTGGAAGGGATGGGGCCAGCCCAGGCAGGGCTGCGGTTGTGCTCCTGCTGCTCTAGCAAGGGGTCACTCCGGTCTGGACTGAAGCGGGTGCTAGGGCAGGGGATGGGACTGAACCGGACCCCACGCAACTGCAATCCCACCACCCATGGGTGACCCTATCTCTCCCCCAGGTTCGGGGCTGGTAGAGGTGGGGGCACACTGGATCCATGGGCCGTCAGAGGGGAACCCCGTCTTCTGCCTGGCCTCCCGCTATGGCCTGCTGGGCCCCAGTGCTGCTGAAGAGGAGAACCAGCAGGTACAGGCCGGAGGGCACCCGCTCCTGCCCTCCATCACCTACGGCAGCTCGGGGAAGGTGCTGAGCCCTGAGCTGGTGAACAGCACCCGCACCATCTTCTCCGACCTGCTTCAGTCCACCCACGCCTTCCTCCATGCTGACGGGCTCCCTGCTCCCAGCGTGGGCCAGTACCTCCGGGCAGAGATCGCCCGGCTGGCCCCCACCTGGGACGGGGACGAGGATGTCAAGCGGCTCCGGCTGGCCATCCTTAACGCCTACTTCAAGCTGGAGTGCTGCATCAGTGGGACCCACAGCATGGACCTGGTGGCCCTGGGGCCTTTTGGGGAGTACACCACGCTGCCCGGCCTCGACTGCACCTTCCCAGGGTAAGTGTGGAAGGAGAAAGATCCCCTTTTCTCCCTTCATTTGGCCTGGGTGGGCAAGCATGGCAATAGGAAATCAGTCCTTGGGCAAGCAGACCTATCCCATGGGATGCTGGAGCACCCCTACAAAGGGCATGTGGGGCAGAGGCTAAGTGCCATCCCGCAGGCCACAACCAGCCTCAGCTTGTGCCCACTGCAGCTGGTTGGCACGTGTTTCAGGTGTCTTAGGTGAGGTGGGTTTAGCCATCCCCACTGCACAAAGCAATATCAACTTTTCCCCAGCGCCTCTCGGGCATCCATCCCCTCTGAGAGCAGGAGGGATGCTCTGGGAATGTCTCAGCAGGGCTGCAGCACGTCCTGAAGGGAATCACCCAAAGCGAGGGGTCTGAGGGGAGAAGGAACATCTCTCCCGGAGCCCTGTACTGAGCCAAGTACTGCGTCTTCTCCTCCAGTGGCTACAGCAGCCTCCCTGATCGCATGCTGTCAAATCTGCCCGAGGGCACCGTCTTGCTCAACAAGCCAGTGAGGACCATCTGGTGGCAAGGGTCCTTCTGTGAGGATGGAGACACAGAGAAGGAGTTCCCTGTCCGGGTGGAGTGTGAGGATGGCGACTCCTTCCTCGCTGATCACGTCATTGTCACCGTCCCGCTAGGTAAGACCTCTCTTCCCTCTCCCTGTTTCTCCCACCGTTGCCTGGTCTCTGTCCCACTTATTTCTTGCTGTGGCTGGCCTGGTTTGCAATGGCACAGGGCCATGAGGTTACAAGAGAACATTCCCCTCCTGTGCTGTTGGCCAGCATCACAGGAGCTGTTTTCTCACAGCTTGGAGCAGGAGAGGACCAGCCCAAGTCCCTGCCCAGCCTCCCCTTTCCCATCAAGGGACCACAGGGAAGAGAAAGTGTCTTGGACTTGAGCAAAACTCAGACAGTTTGGAGCCTCGTTCCCCTCCCAGATTGCTGCATCACCAGATTAGCAGTGACACAAAGATCCCCATTTCCATTGTCAAGGGCAGGACTAGGGATGCAAGGATCAGGGCAGTGATAAAGAAACCACAGGAGCGGAGCCAGATAAGCACAAGGGGGAGGCAAGCTCTGAGCTTTTGTCCTCAGGCTGAAGGATGCTTCATCTCACACTTCTCCATCGCAGTCCCAGGCTTAGAACGGGCTTGGGAAATGGGCTGTGCCATGCTGTGCCAGGCGCCAGGTGCCATAGTGGAAGGAGCCGTACGGTTTTCTGCCTGTAGGTTTTCTCAAAGAACGCCACCAGGACTTTTTCCAGCCTCCTCTCCCTGAACGGAAAGCGGAAGCCATTCGCTGTCTTGGTTTCGGCACCAACAACAAGATCTTCCTGGAGTTTGAGGAGCCATTCTGGGACCCACATTATCAGCTCCTTGAAGTGGTGTGGGAGGATGAGTCACCTCTTGCAGAGCCTAGCACTGACCTGGAAGCCAACTGGTTCAAGAAGCTCATCGGCTTTGTGGTTATCCAGCCACCAGAACAGTACGTGGTCATGTGCTTCAGCTGGTTCTTCTTGATATGGTGCCTGTGTCTATCTGGGAGAAAGGCCTCCTTCCCAGCTTGCAGGGCTTGGTACCTGCCATGCTTGAGGGGAAGGATTATCTGGGTTTGCAGCAGAGCAGTGCCTTGTGCTGTACGTTTTTTGTATCCTGAAGAACCTGGCTGCTCGTCCTCAAGGTCACCCAGTTATTTTCAGTATTACAACGTTGTCGGCCTGAGTCTGCAGACAGCAAAGGCATTGCAGCTCAGGGCTTTGGCATCTTCAGGGCAATGTGCAGAAGTATTTGGGTTCTGTCTGTAGTGTAAAGCCAGTACCGGGTCACTGTCACTCCTGGCCTGTGGCACAGAGGGAAAAGTGGTGTTTCCGGAGGCTCTGTAAGGCAGGGAACTGCTCCCTTTGGTTCTTTCCTACACAGATGCACGTTGACAAGCAGAGTGGGAGGGTGGCAATGCCGCTGGCCTTGTTCTCTGCTTGGCAAGAGCCCTCTGGCCCTTCTCAGTATGCAGACAGCCTAATCTCCCACTAGCTTGATGGGAGCTCTCTTTTTCTTCCTAGGTATGGGCATGTCCTTTGCGGCTTCATTGCCGGGAAGGAGTCGGAGTACATGGAGACCCTAAGCAACACAGAAGTTCTCAGTACCTTGACACGTGTCCTTCGTATGCTGACAGGTACCTTCTCTCCCACCCACGTGCCACCTGCTTTGGGGCTGGGTGCCAGCAGGGTCTGGGAGGCTTCATGTCTGCCCACTCCAAAGGGTTGGAGGCTCCCCAAAACCTCCATACAAGAGCCTCTCTCAGCTTGAGGCAGAAGGGAAGTTGTCGCAGGGGACATAATGTGCATAGGTTTGTGTGGTGTCCATACCCTGGACAGACATCTTTTTGTGTCCCTCCTGTCATCCCAATGGAAATGTGAGCTGGGATTTCTGGGGGCAAGCTGAATCGTAACCAAAATTACCAGCTACTTTTGAATATGAAATCGAGGATGTGGCAAGGCAGGGAGAGCACCTTCCTGGCCTGGCGTTGGGGAGCTCCGAAGCCCCCTAGGGACCTGGCTAGGGACCCCTGCTTGGTGGCCAGGTCTCAGCTATGTGTCTGTCCATGTGGCCCAGGGAACCCACACCTACCTGCTCCCAGGAGCATACTCAGATCCCGGTGGCACAGCGCTCCCTACACCCGGGGCTCATACAGCTACGTGGCCGTTGGCAGCTCGGGGGAGGACATTGATGTGCTGGCTCAGCCCCTGCCCGAGGATGCATCTGACCGCAGGGTAATTGCTTTGAGCGAGCGGTTGGCTGTGGGACACAGCGGCTGTGGTGTGGATGCATGGGAGCAGGGCCCACTGGATGCTTGCCCCATCCCCACTCCTCCGGCTGGTAGGACATACATATGGGACATACATATGGCCAAAGGGGCATGGGTAGGTAGGAACATGGTGCTCCATGACTTGGGGGTCAGGACTTGAAGAGCAGGGGGCAGGGGAGACGGCATTCTCCCCATCCCCCTCAGTTTGGAGGTCTCTGCCATGCAGGTTGCCAGCGAACATCATGTTCCTGCTTAGCTCTTCCCACTGAGCTCCGTGAGATGGCGGGTACCCCATCCCACATGAAATTTGGAGACCTCCAGCTCCCTCTAACCTACCAACCATTTTCCAGCATCCTCATTCCTCTGAGACTTTAGCCCTGCCTACAGGCTTAGAGGAGAAACCTTGTGTGCAGAGAAGATGCCTACTCCTTTGTCTCTCTTCTGGGGGTATGGGTGCAGAGCAGGTCATGCATCTGAGAGGCAGTGAGAGGGCACCTCCCTATGTCAGACTATAGGGAGACAAGGGGCCTCTTGGGTCCATTGTAGCACAAGTGGTACGACCTCACCTCTCTGCTGGGCTTGGGGAGGTTGGCAGGCGGGTTGCTGCGTGTCCGAAAGCTCACCTCCAGTTCTGGTGCTCTCCATCCTGCCTTATTGCAGCCGCTGCAGGTCCTCTTCGCTGGCGAGGCTACGCACCGCACCTTCTACTCGACCACACATGGGGCCCTGCTGTCGGGCTGGGGGGGGGGTGGGCGCCTCAATAACCTCTACGGAGCCACCGAGGCACCCTGCCCCGCAGCCCGGCTCTGACATGGGACCTCAGGGACTGGCAGGCAACACACACACACTCAGGAGGGGAGAATAAATCTTTGTTTTAGAGACCTGTGTTTGCAGCTGTCCTTCTTCCGCCTGATCCCGGGGATACAAGGGACCACTGGCCCATTCCCCCCACTTCATGGGGTCCCTCTGCCCACCTGGCCTCACTTGCACACATCCAAATGATGCAGGAGGTGCCAGAAGGGCAATTCAGGGCTGAGTGGGGAAAGGCTCAGCCTGGCTTCGTGGAAAGCAGGTTTAAACCTGTCCCAGCACTTGAGGAACACACTTGTGGCACCGACCCCATGCAGGGTGCTTTTCTCTACCCATCTTTGTTGGTCTGGGCAAGCTACAGCTTTCCCCTGACAATCGCTCTCTCCAACCCGCGATGCTAATTCAGGGAGATGGGGACTCTGAGATTTCAGGAGGGACCGCACTGAACGGCTCAGCTCCTCTACACGCTGGAGCAGCGCCCTAGCAGGCACGCTGTATAGCTTGGTGCACACCACCGTGTTTTTTGCCCATCAGGAGATAACCCGCTCCGAGAAATCCCAGCAAAGCATGCTTTTATTGAACTGAAACAGCTCCATTACAGGGCTATGCAGCAAAGGAGAAACCGCCCCCGTGGGCGATCGGACACAGAAGCTCGCTGGGGTCACACACCATCTCGTTTTCCCCGGGGCACACGGCATCGTGGCGCTCAAGCGGGACCTCTCCAAAGGAGCTCTCCACAAGGTCTGCATGCCCCCGGGGCTCCCGGCGGAGACACCCCATGCACCTCTGCTCCTCGCCCCCGGGACCGAGAGGTGGGCAAGTCCTGGTGCCGTCCCGCCAGGATCCTGCGGGGAAGGGGCTACGGCACGGGGCTGCGCAGCACCGCTAGTACCAGTTGGTGCTGGCGATCATGTAGCGCACGTCGTCCAGCGGAGCGCTCGCCGTGCCTGGGCCAGTGGCAGGCTGGGCGCCAGGTCCTGTGGTGGGGTGGGTGCCGGGCTCTGCGGCAGGGTGGGTGCCAGGTCCCGCGGTGGGGGGGGTGCCGGGCCCCATGGCGAGGTGGGTGCCAGGCCT